ATTCTAGGCAAACTCCATAGGGAATACTAATATTAGTAAGTGAAACTTTAGGAAGAAAGAGAATATTTGTATGACCTTGTAGTATCTCACCCAGATTATTACTGTAGTTGTTTTAACATCTGCCCACAAATTCTTTGATAGCCCTCTCTCAGGAGATGGATCTCAGTTTACCTCCTTTCGAGTATAGGCTATATTATCTCCTGATTCAGACAAATAAGGGTCGGGAATGAGAAAAATAGGTCCTTCCAGAGGAGAAACCTGGCAGATACCACCTTCACCAGGTGCTTGGTTAACCTCATCAGTTATAAGTTGTGTTCATATCATGTCTCCCCTAATGTGATCTAATAAAGGGAGCTATATCCCTGATATTCTTCCCCGAAATCTATAACCCCAGTCTAAACATGAGAAAAGGCCAAAATTTAACCCTAAATGGGAGAGAGTTTCCACACAGCTCCTGACCAGTATTCAAAAATGTCTGTGTGAGAAAGACTGGGACAGACCAATCAGCTGGCACAGGTCTGAGGAGACCCAATGAGACGTGATGACTAAACAACATGGCATCCGGGACTGGAGCCTGAAACAGGGAAGGGACCTGAGTGGGAAAAGGATGAAATCCAAGCAGCGTCCAGAGTTGGTAGGATTGTTTAGTAGTTACAAATGCACCAGGATTCCGTAAGGTGTTACCGTCAGAAGGAGTTTGACAAAGTGTGTATGGGTACTCTGCACGGTCTTTATGACTCTTTAAGTCTAGAATTTTCAAATTAAAAAGAGTAAAACTTGAAAAATAAAATGTGACCCTTGAATACAGTGTGACTGCACTGGGTTGTGTTAAAGATGAAGTGTTCCACTTCTGGGGAGATGAACAGAACCCTGATGTCCTTGACTTTGTGTTAGCCAGAGGTGACATCTGTTTCCTCTTTAATTCCTCATTTTTTTTTTCATCTTAAGCAGTATCAATGAGTTAAATGACAAAACGGGGAGATTGTTGCTTTTTTTCCAGTTCATCTTTTGTCGTAGGAAGTACCTCACGCCGAAGAGTTTTTGGATGACTCAACCGTCTGGGGTGTCCGCTGCAACAGAACCCTGGCGCCCAGTCCAAAGAGCCCAGGACACTTCACGGCTGCCGCACAGCTCGCATCCACACCTTTCCACAAACCACCCACGGACGCAGGGCCTGCTCTGGAGGATAAAGGTGTGTGACATGCTGCTGGAGTGTCTTGTCTTTTGCCAACTTCAGTTCTTTCAGGATTACGGCTTTCTTCTTGGAAATTCTAAATGGAAGTTTAAAGATCATCCAGAGGAAACTTAAAATCCATTCACTCTATTATTTCCTGTATGATCTTTTTCTTTTAACATCCTGTTTTCTGAAAGCCTGCGCATTTTAGAAACTTAGTAACTGAGATTATTGGTAGAACAGGAGAAAAACCTACAGAAGCCTTCAGAGGCAGATATGCCAAGTCCAACCCATCTGTACAGGAGATAGGTGGATGTTACGTTTACTACAAACAAAATGGCCATGACAGACAAGTTAAGTTACCTGAATGCAAAAAGTAACGAACATTTGTATTTTAAGAGTAGCAAATAGCAAATTTTAGTCCTTGGTATGTGTCTACAGAGTCTATTAGTTTGGAGTTGTACTACACTCAGGAAAATCATATTGTGTTATTTTTTTTTTAGTGACTGACTTCAAGAGAGTAATGATAAAATGCAGGGATAGTTCTTATTTCCCCTAAACCTAACACTTGCATATCAAAGATCATTATCTGAATTAAATCTTAATAGATAACATTGTCATTGAGCACAGATAATTATTACCTATTAAGTACCAACCTACAAACTATATCGACTATAAAGGACTACTTTACCATTCTGATGAGGTTTTTACTAGCCAAATTCCGTCACTGCTCACACTTTTATTAAAAATAGTAATTGTCCCTCAAAGCAATTCAATGAAAGAATTGTCAAAGAATTTCACTCCCCTACACGGAAGCATATTTTAATGTGAAGTCTGAGCCTATAGACCTAAAAATTTTTAACTGAGGAGTAAAAAAAAATTTCTTAAATAACTAACCCGGTATATTAACTTTCTTTTCTGTATTTTAAAGGAGAGTTAGGTTGAAATTTGGACAATTGCCAGGTGCCATCACAAGCTTGCTACTTTAACCAAAAAAATGTTAAAGTATTTTCCATTTGGGAAAATGAGTTTAATCAGTCGAGTCTTTCAGAGTCAATATTGGCTGTTCTTGGAGTATTTGCACTTTGGTTGGATAAATAGGAGCTAATGTTCTAGTGCTGAAAAGTTTTAGCACCTGTTTGGTGATGGGATATCTGAAAAACTTTAGCCCAGTATAATACTTGGCTTTGCCATATATATATATATATATATATATCATATATAAATAGTCCACATTTCTTTTTTTTCTAAGATTTTATTTATTTGACGGAGAAGTAGAGAGTACAAGTTGGCAGAGCAGCAGGCAGAGGAAGAGGGAGAAGCAGGCTCCCTGCTCAGCAAGGAGCCTGATGCGGGGCTCGATCCCAGGACTCTGAGATCATAACCTGAGCCGCCGAAGGCAGATGCTTAACTGATAGACCCAGATGCCCCGGACTCCACATTTCTTACTAGTTTGTCTTTCCGTAGATAGTTTTCATTTGTTTATTTGTTTTTAGTTAAAGAGAGTGGTGGTTAGTATTGCCAGGTATCTTCCTGATGTAAACACTCTAAACCAGTTTAATCAACTAAACACTAACTGACTAAATAAAGCAGTGAGACAGAAAGACACCCACATCTCTGCCCTCCGGATGCATTTCAGTGTTTCACTCTCCACGTCCTTGTCCTCAGGTTCTTCTAAAGCAGGGTGCATCCTCTGCCCCTACCTGCAGCCTCCACGGAGGGCTCATCCTGCCCACAGCAGACCTGCCACCCTTTGGACCCTTTTCTCTTGAAGGATTGAATGTGCTAAGTTGAAATGCTCACAAATAATTAGTAGTAAAAAAATTTTTAGTAATTTTTTTCCCACTTTAAAAATATTATGGAACAATTTATCACGGAACACCATTCTGAAATTATAATGAAAGTCAATATAAGAGAAATTCTGGACTTTATAGCCATATGAAATCATTTGCGTGCATAATGTCTGTCTCTTATTTTCTACATATTTCAGAAAATGTGGTTGCAAAAGAGTACATCCATGTGACTATGGATTCTTGTGAAGAAAACATGGGAGAACCCTCAAAAGACAGACAGTTCAGGTATGTGAGGGCGGGTGTGGTTCCGTCACTCCACGGTCACTCTGGCTTTGCTTTGAGGATATAACAGAATACCTAATTCCAACCCTTCGAGGCAAATGAGATTTCACTGACTTGCAGGTATAAGCCAGAAGCTACTCTCTATAGCTACACAAACAGTGATAAACCTAAACCCTGGGTCCATCGGGGCAGTGAGAGAAGCAGCTGGGGCAACAGAGAGTCTCGGTGGGAGTAGCTCCTATGACTGACTTCTACTCATTTTGAGAACAGAACTGCACTTAACTCTTATCAGCCAAAGACCCTGACCTAGTGTAAAGACTACTGCAGAACTGAGCAAACACATACTTCTTTATACCCATTCTAATTGAGAAAAGCAATCACTTTTTTTCAAGAGGAAGACAATAGAATGTTTAAGCCTCTTAGGTATTGATACAAAATGCGGGTGTAACATAGATGAGGGCTTTGCAGAAGTAAAATTCCATCGTATTTGAATAGTTTAGTTACCGTAACAGACACTGAAAGTGGCTGTAATCGTTTGACTATTTGTTATATTCTATTGTAATGCTGGTACTTTTTATGTACTGTATCCTATAATTAATCCTTACAGTAAATTTAGTTGTAGGAACTATTTCCCACCATTACAGACAAGGAAACCAGGTCTAGAGAATTAAGAAATGATTTAAACTGTGAAGTGTGTAAACCTGGTGATTCACAGACCTGTACCCCTGGGGATAAAAATATATTATATGTTTATAAAAAATAAAATTTAAAAAAAATGTAAAAAAAAAAAAGAATCTCAAGTACTAAACTGTGAAAAAGAAAAAAGAAAGAAATGACTTAAAGTCATACAACTTCTAATTTGCAGCACTGTAATTTCAACCTATATCTCTAATTTCGGAAGCCTTGCTCTCACAACTATGTTGTACTGCCTCTTGTTATTAAAGACCTCTTCTTAAACTAAGACCCCATTGGATGAAAGACATGAGCAGAATTTACAAAAAAAAAAAAATTGAATAAGCATGTAGAAAATACTTAACTTCCTAATAATACAGTCAATGCAGATGAGCAGAAATTGCCTTTTAATTTAAAATTCTGCCCGATAGGCAGTCTGTCACCTCCCACGAGGAATCTTCTACATGTGACTAAACTTTTGACTCACAAGAGACATAAGCCATAAGCCACACTTGGCAGAAGATTAACATAGAAATATATAGGACAAAAATCAGTTGTCAGGGAAATAACTATCCAAGACACTATCGTCTTTGACCAGCATGAGACAATTAAGTTACAAGGAAACCCTTAGGACCAAGGTACAGAAGTTTCCCTAGTTAGAAACCTTAGTTCTGTGGGCGTCAGTGGCTCTCGAAAACTACAGATTTAGATTCCCGTGTCCCCACAAAGAATAGGCCCATTACTAAGGTCTTCATACCTGAAGCCTGAGCCTGTGGATTCCCAGCATGTGTTTCTAATCCTCTCAGTCTAGCACACAGTTCCAGTCATGGTTATTGTTCACCATAAGCCATGGTGACAATGATACTCTGAGCTTTCCAGTTTTCAGGGGAGAAGAGCTAGAAAGTTAACCAAAACTCAAATTCTCATAGAGAAGGGAGAAGGGTTTTATTAATAACTTATACACTCACAGTACTTTGGATACTCAGCTAGGAACAATTTATATATGTTTCAAAACAATTTTTTCTGTGTGCATGAATAACCCTAATATCTGATTTGTTATAATATCAAGCATTGAAAATACTCCCATTTGACTACCACATTTTCTCCCAATAATAGATTTTGATGGCTATGCTTGTGGGATAGATTAAAATTGCCATGATCTGAAGAGGGAGGACTTAATCGTGTCCTCCTCCTATATGGAATGGCTGAACAGAAAATTGATTAATTAAAATATTGAAAGTATTTTTAATATGAAAGAACCAGGGAATTATTCTATTCCAGCATACACCCACTGAATTAAATGACAGGTAGTGACTAAAATCCATGATAGGACTATGGAGAAACCTAGCAGATGCCACATTTACCAAATGATCAAGGTTAATTTCACAGTGATAGCTCATGATAGTCATGCATTGAGGAGGGTACTTGACCTCTGAAACATTCTTCACAGTCTAGTCATGAGGGAAACATCAAAGGAACCCAAATTAAGGGACACTCTACAAAATACCTGGCTGGTACTCCTCAAAACTGACAAGGTCTTGGGAAAGTAGGGAACACTTAGAATCCGTCACCAATAAGAAGGGAGTAAAGAGATGTAAGTAACTGTTGAATACAACATGGTATCCACGATTAGATCCGGGAGCAAATAAAGGGCCCTGTGGGAAAACTGGTGAAATCCAACTGAAGTTTCAAGGTTAGTTAAGAGTACTACGACAAATGTTGGTTTACTGGTTTTGACAGAGGAGCTGCTGTCACGTGAGCTGATAACATCTGAGGAAATTGGGTGAGGAGTATATGGGAATTTTCTATGATCTTTGCAACATTTCTTTAAGTCTGAAATTATTCCAAACCTACTTTGTTTTCAAAAAAATTCCTTCTGGAAAAAATGCCTGTCAAGTAGTAAGAGTGCAACAGGAAGTTGCATGTACATGTGTATTTTTACAGTGGTGCATACTTATACATGTGTTGGTGTATGTGTGGGCATAGAGGTGGAGGAGAGTTGATGTGTGTAGAGATACATACATAGTCGAGTCTTACTGTTTGCACTCATTCTTTTGTATAAAGTCAATGCAAACTCTGAATTACCCAACACTGAACCATCGTTCCTAGTTTGGTTCCTGTGAGCCTCTGTTCACAACTTTTTGTTTAGAGACCTTAATTTAATAAATTATGGTTGATTCATTAGCATTGAACTCAGGGCCAACAGCACTATAACTCATACCTGAATGCCGCTTATCTAATACATATTTTCTCTGTAAGACACATCGCGGCCTTCTCAACCTTAGGAACACTAGACATTTTAGCACTGCACTTAGAGGGACGTCTTAAACAGCAAAATCACAAAAACACAGAAAAATATATTACTAAACATACTGTGAAAGGACACTGGTTTACAGTGTGTGAGCTGACACAAGAACGCAGAGCATCGCCTTATTCCATCTCCGGGAGTGTATGTTGGGTGACGTGTTCTCACCATCCTGAGTGTCTGCAGAAGCGCCATGAAAATTGATTTAGGGATCATGAATGAGTTTTAGCACATAGGCAAATTCACAAATATAGGATCCCTGAGTAATACAGATCAACTATGTATGTATGTATAGAGAAAGAAACTGTTAGGTGCTGGATTATGACATTTTCTATCTGTTTCAGTGCTATACAAGAAGCTGTTTTGGAACAGAGTTCAATATTCAGTCCTGATTCCCAGCTTGGTGACATCTTGGGGAAATAAACCCACCCATCCCCATGTTTCCCATCAAAGGATATCCATTGTGTTAGCTTGCCTGTTTAATGACTGTGTTACCATGTCTTTGATTTTGTCTCTATTCATACTGTACTGGCTAGGTATTTGCATGTATTTGTTTGTCTGAAGAAAATGCTTTGATCAACTCTTTGTAAGGCAGTTTTGAAATGTCATTTATAGAATGAAAAGGAAACTTTTGTGGGACTTTTTCATGTGATCACATCCAATAGACTTGTAATCATGGGTTTTGTCTCCTCTTGTCTATCCCTTTAACACATCCAGCTCAATTCAAGAGAAAAGCCCAGAACCAGCATTCCCTGCAGACATATCTTCAGCATCCTTGCTCCGTGGGAGCCAGCCTGCAGCAGGTGGTGTGCTGGCCAGTGAGGTGGCACAGAGCCTCGAGGCTTGTAAACTCACAGACACTAACCTCACCGTCGCGGAAGAGCCACCCGGCGCCGGTGCCAGGCACCAAGCAGAATGGACGCAGACTAGTTCACTTGAGAATGTCAATGCTTCAAGTACGAACAGATGTTCAGTCTTAATTGTGTCCCTGAATCAGGACAATAGCCTGGTAGAAGCTGTTTTGTGGAAGAAGCTCAAAGAGCAGGGACTTGAATGTCATTGAGTAGAATACAAGTTCAGACAAAACTTGCAAACTAGATCACAGTGTGGCACAACATAGAGCAGTGGAAGGGCAAATTAATTTGTTTTAATTTGAGAAAGTATCAGAATCACTACCATTGGAGGAGGGAGTTAGAACTGGAGGGCCTCCTATGGCAGGCGTTGAATTTAAGAGAGGTACCCCCATTTTCCAGCCAAGTAAGCAGCTCAGGGCTTAACTCCTTTCCCCTAGTTACACAGAAACAGTCTTAGGTAGTCTTGCATCATGGTTTAGAATACAGACTCTGAAGACTGACGAGGTTCTAATCCTAGCTCCACTTTAGGCAGTCATGTGATCATGGCCAAAATCATTTCAGTTCTCTGTGGCTCTCGTTCCTTTTCTATGGGGGGGGGTGATGGTCCTACTTCAGAGTCGTCTTATAAGGACCAAGTAGATTATTAAACATAAACTATTCAGAACAGGGTCCTACATACACTTAACACTACGTAAATGTTAATCATGCTGGATTAGTCTTTGATAACTACCACTAAAATAATTGTTATAGCATGCTAAACTGAGCAGAAACTTTATTCTTTTTTAGAAATGATTTCTTTTTTGTGAACCCAAAGTACCTCTCATGCATGCAAATTCCTCATAGATAATTTAAGTATTGAAAGTCCTTGTATTTTGTAGATACAAGTGGGAGATGTTAGAACTAACTGATATCCAGGTCGGCCTTTAAGACATAATTATGTTAAAGGCAGAATCTAGCAGTTCCAGGCAAGTGAAACAGATGCTTTTGGGGTTCATTTCCTTTGTCACAACTAAATATTGATCTAAATTTGTTGATCTAAAATAACAATGAACTGTGTATAACTAGCCATTTTGATTTTTGTAAATGGTTATTATTTGAATCAATGCTCTTTTAAAGATAAGGCTTTTAAATCTTATTTAATGAATGTCTCTACTAGTTTTATCTGTAGCTTCTTTGGGAAAATTCTTGGGTACTGTGTTCATTTTCTTTTTTATGTTCCCATTTCTTTTAAGGCTTGACTGTTGAGAATCCATGGGATGATACGTTGATTCTCAAACTTTTATCTGGGCTTTCTAAGCCGGTGAGATCCTATCCAAATACTTATGAATGGCAGTGTAAACTTCCAGCCATCAAGCCCAAGACTGAGTTTCAACTGGGTAAGGACTATATGGGTAAAAAATTTTTAACTCTTGCTTCTATACAGGAAGTCAACGGTAATTTATGCATATGTGATTCTTCTTCTGGTACCACCCATGTACCCCACCTCCCTCAAATAAAGAATTATAGATTATCTTTAGTACTAAGCTGAAAACATTTTGTTAAGCCATGACTGTCGGATTTTGATTCCTATTGTCACTATTACTTATAAAGGACAAGTTGGTAATATCTATCAAAGTAAAAAATGCATAGTTTTAGACATCCATTTTTAAGAATTTCCTGCAGATACGCTTGCATACATTCAAAATGACATATGTGCATGTAAAAACAGTAGATTGGAAACAACACAGGTGTCTTTGGGGGACTGCTTAAATAAATAAAGGGATACCTCTACAGTAAAATATAGCTTGCTCTGTACTGATAGGGAATGATGTCCAAAACATGTTGTTATGGGCACACTAGTATTATATGCTGCCTTATATTTCTTAAAAGGGGGAAGATAACATATGCTCATATTCAATGCTATTTCTAGAGAACCCTTGAAGCATACTCAAAACAGAAAAATGGTTAACGGGGTGGATGTGAATAACAATGGAAACAAGACTTCTTGCGAGATAATTTACACACACACGCACGCACGCGTGCACACACAAAGACACACACACAGCTTCTCCTATTGACAGCTTGCATTAGTGTGGTACATTTGTTATAGTTGATGAACTAACGTTAATACATTATTATTAACTAAAGTCCACAGTTTACATTCAAGTTCATTCTTTGTGTTGTACGGTCTGTGGGATTTGACACATCTATAATGACTGGCACCCATCATTACAGAATCCTAAAGAGTAGTTTCCCTGCCCCCCAATTCCCTTGTGTTCCATCTACTCATCAGGCCTGCCCTCTACCTAAAACCCTGACAAGCACTAATCCTTTTACTCCTGTCTCCACAGTTTTGCCTTTTCCAGAATGTCAGATAGTTGTAATGACACAATATGCAAGCTTTTCACATTGGCTTCTTTCACTCAGCAATACACATTTAAGATTCCTCCAGGTCTTTTCATGACTTGAAAGCTCTATCTTTACCATCGCTGGGAAATACTCCATTGTGCGCATGTACCACAGTTCATCTATTCACCTATTGGAGGACATCTTGGTTGCTTCCAAGTTTTGTAAGACTCCTATGCAGTTTTTGTGTGGACAGAAGTTTTCAAGTCATTTGGATAAATATCAAGGATATTGTGATTGCTGAAACAGGGGAGCATATGTTTACTTCTGTAAGAAACCGCCAAACTGCCTCCAAGCGGGGTTCATACCATTTTGTATTCCCACCAGCAATGAAGGCGAGCTCTGTTACTCCATATCCTCACCATCATCTGCTGTTGTCAGCAATTTGGGTTTTGGCCGCTGTAATAGATGTGTAATGGTATTTCATTATTGTTTTTCATTTGCAATTCCCTAATTACATAGAATGATACACACTTTTTTCATCTTTATTTGCCATCTGTGTATCTTTTTTGGTGAAATATATATTCAGATCTCTTGCCCATTTTTTAAAAATCAGGTTGATTGATTTCTTAATTCTGAATTTTTTTCCCCTGTTTTCCTAATTGAATTTCAAGAGTTTGTTGTGTATTTTGGATAACTTTTATCCGGTAAATGTTTTGAAAAGATAGTAACTCG